TGCATCCTTGCTGAAGCTATTTTTGTGTTGTTTCGACTGAACACACTCCTCACAGACTTCCCTTGGAATGTCGATTTCTGGTAATCCTGAAACCATATTTCTTCTCTTCAGTTCTCTAATGTCATTAAAGTTGAGATGACCTAGTCGAAAATGCCATAACCACTCATCTCTGCTGGTTGTAGTTGCTAGACACTTATGCTCCATCATATTAAGTTCAATCTTGAAGGTCCTATTCTGAGACATTGGAGCCTTCAAGATTAATCTACCACCTGCGTCGAGAACTCTCATCATCTTGTCTTCGACAACTACCTTGTAGTTCTTTTCGATAAGCTACCCTATACTGAGCAAATTACTCTTCATGCCTAGTATGTACAACACCTTGGAAAATTTTGATCTTTTGCCATCTTTTCTCATAATCAGAACATCACCAACACCTTCAGCTGCTAGAGTGTTGTCATTTGTAAACTTCACTGTGTTCTTCGACGAGGGCTTCATGTTGACAAACCAATCTTTCCTTCTAGTCATGTGTGATGAGCATCCTGAGTCTAAGTACGACTGATCTTGGAATCTTTCTTCATCTTTTGTTGTGACCATTAGCAACGTCTCTTCTTCTTCATGTTTCGCCAGCTTTGCATCAGTCTCTTGATTTCTCTTCCTTTCTGGATAATCACTAACATAATGACCATACTTCTGGCAATTGAAACGTTGAATGTGGCTTTTGTCTGTCTTTCGACCACCACCTCTTCCTTTACCTACAACACCACCTCTTTGGTTGCCTTGGTTCCAAGGTTTCTTCTAATTCGACTTGCTTCCTCCTTTGTTGCTATTCCAGTTACCTTTGCCTTTTCTTTCCTTTTTTGACTGCGTCTGCAAAGCCATATATTTCGACTTTCATCCAGCTCTCTCAGCCATCCTCTGTTCATGAGACTCAAGAGTCCCTTGAAGTTCTTTCTTCGTTAACACTGACAGATCTTTCGACTCTTCTATGGTAACTACCACGTGGTCAAATTTTGGAGCCAATGATCTCAAAATCTTTGAGACAACTGCTTTCATCGTCATCGCTTCTCCACATACTTTGATTTGATTCACCAACTTTGTAACTCTGGTGAAGAAATCTGTAATGCTTTCGTTGTCTTCCATCTAAAGCAACTCATAGGTTCTCTTGTGAGTTTGTAACAGAGTTATCAAGAACAGCAAAAGAGAAAAAGAATAACAAACAAACAGCAAGAAAGAGAAGAATGAGAGAAGAAATATTTGGAGAAAATTGTGTTACCCACAAACCGTGGGATTTCTGATTACTATTAAACTTTCACTTGCTAAACTCTGCAACTGTGAAATTTATTTTATTTTATTACAAAGCAAGACACCTATTTATAGTTTTAGGTTTACAAAAGCCCAAAATATTCAAAATCAAATCTAATCTAAATCATATCAAATCTCATCAAAACAAACTGTTTCGACACACTGAAAGTTTCGACACTTCGACACTTGACTTAGACTTCGAATGCTTCCTTGCTATTTCGACTTCGACACACTATGAATTACATTTAACAATGTTAATAATATTTTGATCAAATTACAGTTTTATCTCCTACTATATTATAGTCTATTCATAAAATCAGTCATTTTGTGTTATTTTTAAAATAGTTTTGATCTTCGTTTCTTTTTTTTTAATCATAAATGTTGATATGTAGAAAAATAAATAATGGTTGGCTCAATTATGGACACTTTTCCAACTAGTTGATATCATTTTATATTTATTTTTATTATTTTATATTTACTAAGTTAAACAAATAATGAAAAGAATTAATAAACATTAAATCAAAATACAAAAAATTTAAAAAATTAATAATATATTAGTTGTTATGAAATATAAGATATAAATAATTTACTAAAAATTAACTTGATTAAAAAAGTCTCTTCATAAAAATAAAAACAAATTAATATACAAAAAGAACCATTGAACCAGAACCAACAAAAAAGAGCCATTAATTGAACCAAATTGAAGTGTGGAACTCAACTAAGTTAAACCATATAGAACTGATAAAACATTGTCTCCTTCTGTCTTGTCATCTTATATTGGATTCCAAAGATTTCTGAAACGTCACAATTATATATACTTAGATAACCCATGCATGCCTCGTACGTTTCACCTTTTCTCTGAGCAAAACGTGCTAACCAAGCAACTATTCTCTCAAACTCACCTTATACTCACCTCTCTCCAATGGCCAGAGTCTTCATTTTCGTTTTCAAAGCTTAGAACATTCACAAGGTGCAATATGGGTCGCAATCCTAAAGTGTGTACATCTTGTATTCACAACTGTCGAATGTTTCATCGCCTAACAACCACAACCGCGACCTTACCTACATCTTTCTACAAGTTCATGCTTCGTCAAAACGATCTCAAACTTCTGGTATATATCACCATCATCATCTTACTTTCCTTTTCATATATGCTATATTTTGCTTACTCTTTTAGTTTTTTGTAAGTGCAGTATCTTCCTCCTAAGTTGAAACCTAATATGTCTGGTTTGGTCGGTAAGAACATCAGTCTCGAGGATTCAGCTGGTGGTAGATGGGTTGTAACAGTATCAAATGTTGATGGTTCTTTAGCTTTTAAGGAAGGATGGAATGGTTTCTCGTTGGATCACAAGCTTGAAATCGGAGATTTGGTGGTATTCAGTTGCATTGACAAGTTGAAGTTTGGTGTCAAGATCTATGATGAATCTGTGTGTGAAAGGGTTGATTTTTCTAAAAGAAGAATTAGGAAAAAGAGAGATAGAAATAGTGAATTTGTTAGACAAGATCCAAATGCTTCGCTTGTTAACTTCAGGACTGAAAATGTTTTAGAAAATGTTAGTGTGGATGCATTAGACACATGTTACAAAACAAGCCATGCATATCAAAATGATGCATCCATTTTTCACAAAGATCCTATGTTTGAAGAAGTGTTGGGTACAGGAGATACTTCATATGCATCTAAACTTGAGTTGCATGGAAGGAAGAATTGTCCTATGAAGCACAAATCTTCTGCTTTGATAGTAGTAGATAATAACGAGCGCGAATCGATTAAGTCCAATGAAGAAGTTCAAGAAAGCGGGCGCCGGGTTGCTGCGGGGTTAGGTACTATAATTATCCGAATGACTTTGGTTCTGTTATGTAAAGGGATTTGATAAATATTTGATAAGATGTATTCTTCTTCATGTTTTAGGGAGTGATCACGCGGCGATTTCCAAAGAAAAACATGTCTCGCGTGCATTCGAACTTGAAACTTCTGGAAGAAACAATTCTCTTGGTGTTTCAGACAAAAATGCATATGAAAAGACTTCAATTTTGAAACACAAAAAAAACAAGGAGGGAAAATCCTTTTTGCACAAAAGGAAAATTCAAGAGTGCCAGTTTGCTGAAGGCTTAGGTACTACAATTAACAGAACAGCTTCTTTTTTGTTTTGTTAATCACCTTGTTGTTTGTTTTATTAATCAAGTGTCATGATTTTAGGTGAGAGGAAGAAAGTGCCTAGGAACATGACCCCCAAAAGGCGGCGCAGTTTCAATGATAAATTGCGCGCAACAGGTGTTTCTCACTGTCCTTGTTTGTGGCTGCAAGCATTTGTATAAACTTACATCACCTGTTTCTTCCTCACGGATGAATGTTTTCAATTGCAGAGTTGCCAAAGGTTGTTAAGGGAAAGTTTAATCAAAACAATGAAGGTCACTTTGAAACTGCGTGTGAGGTGCTCAAGATTATGGTTGCACATGCTTAGAGCTAATTTATATTTTTCATGCTTGTAATTTTCCATCTGATTAAATGCTAAATTGCTAATCATCCTTGAATATTGATATTGCTGGTTTTCAGAATACCAAAGAGAGGTTCAATAAAATATCTAATCTCTTAGATGATTGTATTTACCTAGGTGCGTATTTTCAGTTGATATGTATTTTTTCTCAGAAGAGTAGCATGATTCACCCGACGTAATCATTCAGCTAATATGATTTCAGGTGAGACGAAGGAAATGCCGGTGAAAAAGACTCCCAAATTACACAGTGTCGACGATAAAATAAATGTGCCAGGTGTTTTTCTTTGTGTTTCTCACTATCATTATTTGTGTCTGCGTGCATTTGTCTCCGGGGAAATTAACCTGTTTGATTGCAGGATTGCCAGTTATTAAGATAGAGTTGAATGAAGATGAAACTTCTGCAACTGTCACTGATAACAATTATCTTGTATGAATTTAACTTCCGTAGTTGAGCTTACGTTTATGATTTTGTGCCCAGAACTATAGTGTCCGTTTGTGACCATTTGAACCTGCATGTACCGCAGGAATTGTCTGAACCCTTGCCGATATCTCGCGTTGGATTAGGATCGGCGAGGATGGTGGTGTTTCTTAAGGATCCACTCACAAGATTGTGGCCGGTCTTTTGCCATCAAAAAATTTGGTTGACAAGCGGATGGTCAGATTTTCGAAGAGCAAATAATATAAAAACCGGTGATGTGTGTGTTTTCAAGGTCGAAAATAAGTATGAATCTATCGCCGCTGTACACACAGACCACAAGTGATGTTAAACGAGTCGTATGCTGCAATGTTGTTTAGTTGCTCTTCTTCTACCTCTTTGCCCTGTGTACTACAATAGCTTCATGCATCAATGAAAACATGAGAACTGATTAAAATCTTTTTACTGTTGTTAGTATTCTACTCATTATTTTTGTTCTTGTTTTCAATTTGAGATCATTACTTAATTGATGTCATTCAGACACTCATAGATTTCCTTGTGGTTCTTGTCTGCCATTGAGTAGAGACATTATAAGATGTTACTTTATACTTTGTCTATTTTTATATGTCTGAAATGAGTACTATGATACTATATTTCCAATGTGTTGCCATTATAAGCCTATAATAACATGTAACAATACATTTAGCAGCTAATATAAGCATGAGTTACAGAACCAAAAGTGTCCTAAAAGTCAAAAATTGACAACCAAACAACAACAAAACAACATTTCAAATAATTTCCACTATTGGGTCAACACATGTTGCAGTGGCCGACACTTGGTTATGCTCTTTGATCACCATTCTTCTCATTTTCCCCAACCAATTGATGATACTTGCAGCATAGTCAAAAAGACTAAGAGCAACATAAAGACCAATACCAGCAACAATCCCATTTGCTATTGAATAAGTCAGAGGCATTAAAATCATTACAGCAAAAGCCGGAACCGCCTCCTTCACATTACTCCAATCAATATCCTTCACAACTTTCATCATCATCACCCCGACCATCACCAACGAAGGACCTATAGCCCACGGGGGAACACTCGACAAAAGAGGAGTGAAAAACAATGACAGAAAGAAAAACAACCCAATAATCACAGCGGTTAACCCCGTCCTACCACCTTCCCTCATCCCAGCCGATGATTCAACAAATGTCGCAGTTGTTGTAACACCTAAAGCCGACCCAACAATAGTACCTGCTGCATCAACAATATAAGCCATATATTCACCTTCGAAATTCCCTTTCTCATCGACGAACTCGCCAATCTCGGCCATAGTATACATTATTCCCGTCATAGCAATAACATCAACATAAAACAAAGTAACCAAAGCTTCCCAAACTTCCCTTTTATTAAAATCACTAAACCTAAAAACCAATGCAGTTGATTCAATCTTATGAAAATCAACAATTTTCTTAAAATAACTAAAATTCCCATCCCCAATTAATGTATCAGGAAAATAAGTCACCTCAGTATGTCTAAACCATGACACAAAAGTCACAAAAAGTATCCCATAAATCATACTACCCTTAACATTCTTCATCAAACCATAGCTTGTAATAAGAAACCCTAAAACCCCAAGCCAGAATTTAGGGCTTTGTAACTTCCCACCCAAGCAAGCCCCAGTTTCCGGGTCAATACTCTTACAAGCAGTAATAGTAACCAAATTAGAAGCATCAGGCCCAATAAGCCCAACACCTTGGCTACTCTGTAAGCCCACAAAAGCAATAAAAAGCCCAATCCCAGCAGCACAAGCAAGCCTAATGGAATGAGGTATAAGCTTAGCAAGCTTCCCTCTTAAACCAAACACAGAAACAAATAGAAAAGCACAACCTTCCACAAAAACAACCGTAATCGCGGTTCGATACGAAATCGAACCGCTTCCATGATAACCAACAAGGTTAAAAGCTAGATAAGCATTGGGCCCCATACCTGGAGCAAGGCCCAAAGGAAGGTTCGCTAATAAGCCCATAGCGACAGAAGAAACCATGGCGGTTACAGAAGTTGCAACCACCAGGTCGTTTTTTGTTTTCGCGAGACAAGTTTCGTAGCCAGCATTTGGCTTTAACGTGCAATCTGGTGTTGCTGGTGGAGAACAGTCGGCGACGGAGCATGTTCCGCCGGAAGCGGTTATGATGGTGGCGTTGACGGTTATGATGTAAGCCATTGTTAGGAAAGTAGCGGTTGCGGCACGGAGTTCTTTAGTGAAACATGTTTTTCTTTGTTGTAACTTGAAGTATGTTCCTATGAAACTGTTTGAAACGGCGTCGTTTATGGTTTTTTCCATTTGAGAAAACACACTGCATGATTTTACTCTTCCCATAATATTGATAATTTCAGAGTGTGAAGAGAAATATTAAAAACTTTGATTATGATATGTGATATGAAGAAGGAGAAGAAGAAGAGAGTGAAGTTGGTGAATATGGTTTGCATAGTTTAATACTATGGCTACTAATATTTATATAGTTTTGTTCATTAGTTGCACTGAGCCAGAGAGAGAGACTACCAACTAGCACTAGTAATTGCTTTTGTTTTAATCAATTAATTAATGAATAGGATATAGGAATTAGGAAAGCAAATATATATGGAATAATAATGAAAATATTCTATACTGCTAAATTTTTTATAATATTTGTTTATTTGACCATGTTATAATATAATATTAGGGAAAAATTCCATCTCATGCGATTATCTCCTTCGCGGTGAAAAATTACAAATGTTTCTATTGTTTAGAGATGCATCTTCGAATGTATTTTTTTATATTTATCAGAGTAAATTGATGAGTCATCCTTATATATTTGTATAAACATTAGGGTGAGTTTGCAGATACATCTCCGTAAAAGCTCTTAATTCAAAATTTAGGGAGGTTTACGAAGATGCATCCCCTGACACGTTTATTTTCATATACTCGCGTCAGACTCTTTCTTCTTCTTCCTTCATTTTTTGCAAAGTCACTATGATAAACCATGACATTTGTAGAGAGATGACATTCAGTATTGACGAGATGTTCATCACCTTGGATGACATCTCATGCCTCCTACATCTTTCCATCAGAGAAAAATTACTGGACCACAGAAGGATCAATCGAGACAAAGTCATTGAGATAATGGTCACCCATTTGGGAGCTAACATAACCAGAGGTGTTCATGTTATATTTAAATTCTTTGATAACGTTATAAAGACCACCGTGAATGGTTGTAGATGTCGACGATGATATATAGGTTGAATACCACAGGCAATGTGCATTAAGGTATTACCTTTTGTTTCTTGTTGGCACACCCATGTTTATGGACAAAAGTACAACCTACGTCAATGTGGTCTACCTTAAATACTTCATCAACTTGACAACAATTCATGAGTACAATTAGGGGTGTCTGTTTGGTCTACCTGCACTCGAAGTTGAGCGAGGATTGTCGTTGAAAGACAAAGCAGTTGACAGGAAACCACATGCTACTTACGGTAATTCACTGTTACTAATATTTTCATAAATATTTTGTTATACTTGTTACTAATATTTTATCTGGACCATTTTTAGGGATGCATCTTCTTTTACTTTCCTCGCATTTTCAAGTGGGAACTAGTGTCTGACTACATTGGAGATTGACCACATGTTTGCGTCTTTGTACCGCTTATAGGGAATCAAACAATCGAGTCATTTCAGGTGTATATTGATTATCATGTAGCAGATGACATTGCCTTCTGTCCATACGGCTGTCACCGCGAGACGCATCATACAGACTCCATTTCGTTATACTTCAGATGCGTGGCTAGTGGGTCAGCTCTGATGTATGCGTATCTGCCCGAGCTAGTGATGTGTTAGTTTGGATATTTGTAGGTTATTCAGAGACATCCCTCAGAGTCTGCTCCTCCTGCCATCCGAGATCTTAGTGTCATACTTAAGAATTTTGAGATTTATTTGGTATCAAAAGACTATCGTAGGGTGTCAACTCTTGTACATCGAACTTATGCAGACAACTACATAACATGGTTCTATAGGGTGTCACATCTTATGATGACACCAGACGCTCCTGAAAGACCACTTAGGTCATCTAATCATGAGGTACTAGACGCTAGGGATGACCACTCCTAAGACATATGCAGCATCTGTCGGCATATTGGGGATATGACGAGACTGGGCCTAAAAGCTGGACGTTTTTAGGAAGGGAGTCCCCAATTGGCCCTTGTGGAAGACATTATTGTCGAGACCCATAATGTCTTGCATTATAGGCGGAGAAGCCGGGGGATTATACATATATAGTAGATTATGTTTGGTTGTATTATTTTTTGTATTTTCGGAATAAGTTATGCATGGTCGGTACATTTTGAATTTAATTAATGTATGACTTTTTAAATGTATATGTAGCATGTTTGAATCAATTAATGCATGTGTTTCTAATTTGTTATTTAAAATATAAGTTGACTTAAAAAAATGTCAACGTTTTGGACATTGTTGTTAATTTATGACCTAAAATTATCTAAAATATAAGTTGGTCTAAGAAAATGTCAAAAAAAAATAGAACAATGTTGCAGCCTATAATGCATTTAGGAGAATTTTGAGATATGCATATCTGAATATTCTCTATAATGTCCAATAAACTCACTTCAATAGGTTGCAATGAATTAAGGGGATTACATAGATGCATATCAATTTTACCCTAAAAAATTTATGAAAATGTATCTCTAAATTAATTTTTAACAAAAATAGAATGTATGATTAAATTAAAAGGACTAGTTTTATTTTAACACGTCGCAGCAAATTTTAAAAATGTAGAACACATGTGATAGAATAAGTGTTCCTCTCATATTATTCTTTTACGATGTTAGATTATATCCATGCTAATTTGGTTAAGAAATTAATATTTTATAATTAATTACTAATTACAAGTTGATGAAAGAATGAAAATTTAATATGAAGGGTCAAATTTTATTTGACTACGAGAAGACGTTGAATGCAATTGCTTGTTTAAGTATAAATTTTTGTTTCATTTTTTAATTAAAGTTTGACTCATATTTTGCACCGTCCAATGCATTATGCATGCTATTTAAGAAATAATTAATTTTATCACTGATTATCATATTCTTACTTGTATCGTTTTTTTTATAGTCATAGTAAAATATATTAATATAATAAGATAATGATAGTTTTATAAAAATTCCACTCTCTTTTTCTATACTATTTATAATTTATTTAAATTAACTAATCATAATTTACAAAATTGTATTTGAAAAAAGTATAATAGAGAGATCATTATCGTGAAATTCTGAAAATAATTGTAAGTGTGTAAAAAGTAAACCGTTCTATTTTTAATTGAGAGCAAAGATATTTATAAGTGCATTGGATCGTCGCTAGAGTGAAGAAATGTATCAATTTCTATCCCTATAGACTCACCTATGGTTCAAAGGTTTTGACCAAATCATGGGCGTGAATGGAGTTGGTTTCTCTTAATAATAAGGGAAGTCGGTGGCTATCTAATGTATGGGTTGACACGTTTTACTACGATCCATATATGAAATCTTGGGCCTCGCGCTCATGGAGCATTAGGTCGAGCAATATGGATTTTCCATCTTGTCAAACCATAACACCCATTAATGAATCTAAGGCTTATTATGTCTTGATCAAGTTGGTTAAGAGTTAGGTCAACCTTATTAAAGGCTTACCTAGGTTTTCCTAGTTAATAGTCCATCAAACATAAGATCTGAAAAAGCGATGTGAATAAATGGTTCTAGATGAAATTCCTGGTGATCCTCCAAGATGGTGACTTTAAGCCTTTATTTGAAAGAAGTCCCTCAAGCGAGACTTGAAGAGTTGAGTCCCTCAAAAGACACTTGTAGAGTCGAGTCCCTCATATGAGACTTTTAAAGGCTAGTCTCTCATGCGATACTTGTAAAGGCGAATCCCTTACATGATATTTGCAAAGGCGGGTCCATTAGGCGATATTTGCAAAGATGAGCCCCTCTAGCGAGACTTGCATATGCAAGTTCATCAAATAAAACTTTTAAAGGTTAATCCCTCAAGTGAGACTTACAAAGGAAAATCCCTTAAACTAAACTCGTAAAGGCAAGTCCCTCATACAAGACTTGTAAAGGTGAATCCCTCAGGCGAGAATCATAAAGGTGAGTCCCTCATTTAATATTTGTAATGGCGATTGCCTCAGAAGAGACATGTAATGGTCAATCCAATCTTTCCAACTCTTATGCTTATGTTTTTGTACTATTTGTATTATTGTCCCGTTATAGGTTTTCTTATGACATCACCCTTCAGGTTTTTAAATGAAAATATTCACGTCTTGGAGGTATGTTTATTGATTTTATATTATAGTTGTTCTATGATTCATTCCTCTTAGTTATGCTTTCATTAAGTTGGCGAAGACAGCTCATGAGGCTTAACCTTAAGGGGTAGTGACAATTTTCAATCTTCACTCAAACGGTATGGCCTCTTAGGGTGATCTCTATTCCTCATAAAGATAGAAACATGGTAAGGCGATAATGATTCCTTATCTGGATACAACGTAATAGCCATATAAGGCGACAATGATTCCTTATTAGGATCCAACATAATATTGGCTGGTGAGACGACAATGATCCTTTTGTAAGTATCCAACAATATAGCGTGATAAGGAGATAAAGATCCTTTTGTAAGGGTTTAGCCATGTATAACATGATAATGTGTAAAATATCCATTTTCAAAGGTACAATAATGTACAACACGGTAAGGCGACAATAAAATCTTTGTAAGGATCCAACGTTGTATAGTCTAATAAGGCGGAAAGAATCCATTTGTAATGGTTCAACAATGTATGGCGTGATAAGGTGGTCATGATCCCTTTGTAAGATTCCAACTTTGTATAGTCTACTAAGGTGACAATGGTCAATTTGTAAGGGCTCGACAATGTATATCCTGATAAGGCGACAATGATCCCATTCTAACAATCAATAATCTATAGCCTAATAAGGTGGCAAATATCTCTTTTAAAGGTCTAGTAACACATAGCCTGATAGGGCAAAAAATATCCTTTTATAAAGTTTCAATAATGTATAACATGATAAGGCAACAAGGACCCCTTTGTACGGGTCTAACAATGCATCCCATAGGGCGACAATGATCCTGCAATGCTTTGTGCTTTTATTTTTGGTGCTTCCAAAATTAGCTCGTATCTTGATATATTTTCTTTGCTTCATTCCTTACAATGATTTTTTGAACTTCAGAAATAAACAATATGGAAAGACAAAAAAAAAAGGATAAACCAATTCAAATATTGTGAAATTCTTAAATGAAAGCACACGTGTTTAGCTTGATGATGCGGAGATATTTTTGTATGGAGT